CGATGTATGTTCACTTCTTTAATTCCATGCGATTCTCATTTTTTGCTGTCCAGCACTTTCATCTTTCTTCTTCTTCTTCTTCTTTTCTATGCTCTCCAACCATTCACAAAAGATGGAGCGCATGGCTACGACAACATGGAAAGCGATATGCACCCCTTCATGCTGGCAATGGGTCCCGACATTCCCCACTTTACCGACCGCAAGCACTTCTACCAGGTTGATCTCTACCCCTACATCTGTGCAATGCTGGGCTTGGACAAGCCGAACAGAATTGACGGGCAGATCGACCGTGTCCTGCCTTACTTGAAGAACAAGCCAAGTAGAGAGTACGTCGACCAATTCCGGCTCTACGCTTCTGGAACACTACCCCACCAAGACCTTTACTGACAAACAAAGTGCCATTATTTACCACTGAGTATCAATTGTCAATTACTTGACATTTATCAACCCCACCTGTCAACAGTTGAAGGGTCTATTTCATTACAAAGGAACAGCTTGCGTTTGCTTTGAACTACTTTTCAGATTCTTGTAAATAGCAGAACCCACGCAGCCCTCCACTTCTGTAGCCACGGTTTGATTAACCTCCTCTTTGTCTAGTTATTTTGCAACAGCACCCAAACCGGTGATGTTTTTGCTGTTACTTGGGTTGAATATGCAAGTCTATTGAGTCCTCGCGGATGATAACAGTGGAAGTACCGAAGTTCCAATTACGCATGCATAAGGACGTGCGTACAGGCAACTCTGCCCACAACAACGGACTGACCAACTGTGTCTTCTGTCGACAGCTGCTACTGGAACGGTGCAGCAGTCTGATGCTTCTTCCTGCGTAGAAGTGAGCAGTGAGTAGTGCGTAAAGTAGGCATTCAGGGAGAAAGGGAAGCAACACAACTTTGACTTGAACCGAACGTCAGTCCAGGCCCATGGGAGCAGGCGGAGTTCCAAGGTGGCAGTCAGTCACACACGCCCACATATTGACAAAGTGTTGAGAGCAATATTCATGTTTTATCCAGCAGGAAAATAAGAGTTAAAATAAATTAGATCATCCGTCTTTGGGTCTCCGCCTCACTTTTCGCATTAACGGCAAAGTACGGAGGGTGACTCCAATAGTGAGTTGAGAAAAATAAAATCGAGGTTGAAGAAATGCTGTAGCAAGGGTTGCACACGCTCTAGATGCCACGAAGAGCATCTGAGAAAGAGAAGATGAGCGCACGAATGCGACGGAGCGAGTCGAGAGTCGACGATACAAAAGCTTTGG